TAATAAAGTTTCCATCTGCAAAATTATTTTAACAAGTTTTTTAGTATATAGGTTGCAAAAGTCAACAAAAAACTGGAACTTTTCATTGAGGTTTCATCTGAAATTTCCAGCTGATAATCTTTTCTCGTTTGCTTATAAATATTTGTTGGCGTTAGTTCCCAGTTTTCAATTTTAAAACAACTTTGAATTCAGATGTGTTTCACTTTATTTCTTTCAGCATCTCTTTTCAACTCAGAATTAACCAGCATAGGGTTGATTAATTCATCAGATCGAATTTTTTTGTTCCGACAATTGAAAAAAGTTGCCTAGTTTACTATGAAGTTCGAAAAGTTCCAGTTTTGAGATCTTTTTAGAACTTGCAAATATTTTTAAGTGGCGAGAAGAATTCAATTTTGGCGAGTAAAACAAGAAAACATTTTCAAACTTTTTTGTTTATGCTAAAAGTTTGAAACAAAAACGGTTGCTGGTTGAAACCAATTTTTTTTCGAAGTTTTGTCTTGGCTTTCTCCTCCTTATATGCACAAAACAAATTTAAAAAAATCATCTATTTTTCAGTTTGTTTTCTTTGTAAACACATAATCCTGTTTTCTTTCAAAACAGGTTCTCCGGCCGTTCCTGTTAGATATCTTTTTTGGAAAGAGAGGTGCAAGGGTGACGTGTAGATTCTGAAGAGTTGTTACTAGTCAAATAATGTGAGCCAAATGCATATTAGATTTTACGGATAACAAAAAAAGCAAACCCGGTTGACGGAGACAAAAAACGATGATAAAGAGTGAAGAGAAAGATCTGAAAAACAAAAAACGTTTAGGCAGTTTTTTCTCATAAACTGTAAAATAGTTTCATTAAACTATATAACTCTTTTTGGAGCAATATTTTGCAGACATTTAAATTTGTGCGGAAAAACACACCCAAATACATTGAGACCATTTGCGTCTTTGGTTCGAGATCATTTTTGTGCAGCTGTTTTGCCCCTCAAAAATCATTCCACTACCAAACAAACTGCTTTAAAAAACAATTTCACTCATAAATATATTTTTTAAACAGTTAGAGGTCAAACCACATCAAGTAATTTCATTAAATCAAGGAAAGTAAAAAAAAAATAGAACCAAGCATAACACAAAATATATCGAGCTAAAAACTAATGATGAAAGATAAATTGATAGTAATTTTGTAAGCCAGGTTTACAGATGAGCCACTGTTGAGCTTCTTTTACACGTTTGAAAACTTTTAACTGGATGCTCGATTTTTAATCATTCCTCGGCGAAATGTGTTTTCTTGAAGCAACTCGATTTCAATGTCATCTTTGAATGTCAAAATATTACTCCAATGCTTCATCATAGTGTTTTACTTAGGGTTGTTTTAATCAACCCCCCTCGCCCTCCAAACAGAAAGCACTGTTTGGCACTACTTTAATGGATTCGTTTTTGTTCACAACTCGGGCATAAAATAGTTTTAGAAGCCGAGCGCTCCATAATAACTTTTTCAGATGAAATCCGACGCAAAAACGACACCGTAAACAGCATTTTTGGCAAAAAAGATTATTTTAGAAAATTAACTCGCTCCTCGGAAAATTTGATGCAATTTTTTAAAACCAGAAAATTTGATCCTAAGGCAGTTTTTCAAATATGATACAAACATATTTTTTTCTACTCAAAATTGAAACTATTGCTTATATATTTATCTATCAGCAGATTCGTCCGACAACATTTATGTGCAACTAACTGCCATTTTTATTACTGGGAGGAAATTTTCCAAAATACCCAAAATTTTGCAAATGCCCATAATAGCGAAAAAAGAAACAAAAAAAATACGTCAATTGAATTTTTTGGACAAAATCTAATTAAAAATTGTTTTTACAGGCACAGAATTGATTTTGCGACTGAAAATTTGATTTCATTTTTAATGCGATTTTGAAAATTAATTTTTTTTGATGTTTTCGTTTTCCCAAAAAAGTAGGTTAAGTCTATAACAAGCTTTTTTTCATACACAATAGTTATGGAATTGTGTGACTAGCGTTTATCACGTTAATCAGCATTCAAAAGTTCAATCAAATTTATTCAGTTGCGAAGTGTCAGGGCCACCTTCTTCTATTTTGGCCGGCAAATGAGACGACAAACGTTAACACGACAACTGTTTCTAATAGGACTTTAACACGACGCTACACGCAATTCTCCACATTTTATTTATGGGAAATTCAAATCGCTTAAATTCGAACTGCTCATTTTACACTTTTTAACGCTTATTTTTTTCCTAATGTTTTGTTGTCTTAATGGCGGCCTGTCGTCTTATTAACCAAGCACTTTTGCCTCTGTTTCTCAGTCGGAGGTCAAATTTCGCAAGAGTTGTGACGCCGCAAGACTCCTTCGTCTATGCAGATTCTGAACAGCCTGCTCACTTTCGCTATTTTCCTTGCTGATTTTTGTCTGCAAACAAAAAAATTTATCAATAAAAGCAGAATACTTGTTTTGGATCAAGTTATGAATCTACTTAACAATCGCCCTCCCTTTGGTATCTACTAAAGAATTGCCACCCCTATAAATAAAAGCAGTGAAATAGGGTGGAATCTCTCATACGCGAAGGACCGAATGCGCAAAAATAAAATTCAGCCAATCTGATTTCAGTAATCTAAAATTTGGAAAGAAAAGAAACATTTTTAGGGAATGAGTTTTGATTTTGGCCGAATATAAAAACGGCAAAATATGCAAAATTTCCAAATTGTCACTGACGCCGCCGAATTAGAACAAATTTTAAATTTCAAGAGTTTCGTTATAAAGAAGTAAAATATTGCTTCATTTAATTGAATGGCAATTGCTTCTTTTTAAAATTTGACTCTCGGCTATTTTGTTTTCGGTCATTCGCTCACGAGTTTTTTGCCCATTCAGTCCTTCGCGCATAAGAATAGCCCCCGTTAATTAGCATTTGAGCGTAGCATCTAAAATTCGAATTTTGCTGCAATCTGATTGGCCGAAAATTCGACAACTTAATCTACTTAACAATCGCCCTTTCAGGAAAGGGAGAGAGAGTTTGTAAAATAAAGTCAATCAGCGGATCTTCTCGACCAATCAAAATGGAGCAAAATGCTCTCGTGCTAAATTATTGCTTTTGCTTGTATGGCTGGAAATTTTTAGTATATAAGGTTACGTAGCAGTATTTAGACAACAGCGTATCCAGACAGCCCCCGTAAATCAGCACTTGAGCGTTGCATTTAAAGTTCATGTTTTGCTGCAAACTGATTGGCCGAAAATTCGACTACTTAATCTACTTAACAATCGCCCTTTCAGGAAAGGGAGAGAGGTTGTAAAATAAAATAAATCAGCGGGTATTCTCGACCAATCAGAAAGAGCGAAACGCTCTCGTGCTAATTTATTGTTTTTGCTTGTAGGGCTGGAAATTTTTAGTAAATAAGGTTACGTAGCAGTATTTAGACAACAGCGTATTCAGACAGCCCCCGTGAATCATCACTTGATCATTGCATTTAAAATTCGAATTTTGCTGCAATCTGACTGGCCGAAAATTCGACAACTTAATCTACTTAACAATCGCTCTTTCAGGAAAGGGAGCGAGGTTGTAAAATAAAGTCAACCAGCGGATCTTCTCGACCAATCAGAATGGAGAAAAATGCTCTCGTGCTAATTTATTGCTTTTGCTTGTAGGGCTGGAAAATTTTTAGTATATAACGTTACGTAGCAGTATTTAGACAACAGCGTATTCAGACAGCCCCCGTGAATCAGCACTTGATCATTGCATTTAAAATTCGAATTTTGCTGCAATCTGACTGGCCGAAAATTCGACAACTTAATCTACTTAATAATCGCTCTTTCAGGAAAGGGAGCGAGGTTGTAAAATAAAGTCAACCAGCGGATCTTCTCGACCAATCAGAATGGAGAAAAATGCTCTCGTGCTAATTTATTGCTTTTGCTTGTAGGGCTGGAAAATTTTTAGTATATAACGTTACGCAGCAGTATTTAGACAACAGCGTATTCAGACACTGCATTAACTAATCAGAATCGAGACAAGGAAGATTTGAAATTCATTTCTTCCTTCTCTCGTTTCTGATTTGTTAAAACAGTGTCTGAATACGCGATTGTCTAAATACAGGCCGCATTCCGGTACATATAGAGGGCGGATTGATAAGTAATTTTAATTTTTGGTCCATTAGTGCTAAAAATCTGCAAAAGTCTGCAATGATTTTATAAAGTCTAGAAAAGTCTAGTATTGAAAGGCTGTTACAATTTGTGACGCAAAATTACTTCATGCTGTCACGAGCAGTCATTTTTTCAAAAGAATTTGTGAACTCGAGCGGTTGGGAAGCTTGAAAAACTAAATGATAAGGTTTGGACTTTCGATTCCATTTGCTAAGTATTAGTCCGTGAAAAACTCTCACGTGAACTATGCAGAAGGCAAAACTAACTTAGATTAAAAAAAGTGTTATCAGTTTCAGCATGGACTTTTAACATGAGAAAACAAAATGGCGGCAACTGGGACGTTAGAAAAAGATAGCTAGTCAAAAAACTTTCGATGCTGTAAAAGAGAACTGCTTGCGAAATCTTGGTAAAGAAAATGAATGATACAAATTCGTTTCTTAGAACTTGTTGGATGAGCATTTTTTTTTCATATAAAACTAAAAGTTCTAGATATCCTCCAAAAAAAATTTTACGTATTTTTTATAGTTATTTGCCTTTTCTCGTCACATGAGAGCAATTTGTTGTTCTTGAATTTGATTTTAACTTGCATAGAAAATTTCTGCTAAACAAAATGTCTACCAAATGCATTTGAGAATGGTAGTTTTTTTCTAAAACCAAATAATGGTTTTTAGATGCAGATGTTTGAACCTGAATCGGGAGGATAGAATGTTGAAGAGGATGGGGTTGACGATGCTGTTGGCGGCGAACACGACGGAGGAGAGGGGCAGTGAGATGTCGAGGATGAGTCTCTCCCACCCCTCCACCCTCTGGCCGAGGGAGCACTCGGTGATGGATCTGAAGAGTGTGAGGAGTCTGAAGGGAGACATGAGGACGAAGAAGGACACCAGCAGAATCACAAACAGATTCACCATCTGAAACGACCCACAAACACTTCCCATTCTTAAGAACACAAATCAACTCACTTTTCCCAAATAAAACAAAGGCCAACAGATAAACTGGGTCACCTTATTGCAAATAGCTTTGTTTGTCCTGTTTTTAAATAAGAACTGAATAAAATTGATCCGTTAGGGTTCCTGGGTTAGATAACGTTGCTTCTATTAAAGTAACCACGAAGCAACATGCGTATCTAGAAGTATACACGTGTACTTATTCCTAGTCACATCTATGAACTATGAATGGGATGTGTACCAAATTTAAATTTAAACCCATTCTGCAGACACGGATCTATGGTTTTTCCGAGGAGGGGATCGGATTTTCAAAGAAATCGAAAATTTTGTCGAAAAAATTGATTCTCTGAGCTCTCTCAAATCCTTATAAAGACCTTTTTGACCAAATTCTAAGCGCCGCAGTTAAGTTTTTTAAAAACCAGGCCAAAAAAGGTGTTTTCAAACACTTTTTGGAAGCTTTTGACCAAAAAATTGCGTTTTTTAGGGTGCTCCCTTCCAAAAATTAGTATATATTGGCGCATTCAGGCGCCATAATGTTTTGCAGACTAGCAAAAAGCGAATATCTCAAAATAGTACAAAGGGGGGACCCTTTGGGTCAACAGGCGGTCGAATTCCTCAGGGGAGGGGTGTGGCGTTGCCCCTGCCCCCTCTCTAAATCCTTAAATCCGCTAATGCCCCTCTGAATTCATTCCTGACTTGAACCCGATCGGAGAATCTTGTTTATCTACGCATCTATGGTGTCCGCCCGATATTCTTGATATTGAACTAGTAGTTTTTTTTATTGTGATGTTTTTTTTTATTGTGATGTTTTTTTACCTGTTTAAACTTTCGCAATCTCTGGATTTGAAAGGAATTTCCGTTGTCTTGTTTTGTAGTGCCACCCATGCCCACTAACTGCATCCGCGGAACCGATGTTTGCGCATTTTCAGATCGACTTGGGAAACCGGAAACTCTCGTTAGCACGGTTGAAGCACTTTGATCCAAGCTGTCGTCTGAAGATCGCACTGTATACTTAGCTCCAACGAATTTTCCGGACGAATTGCCTTGGTTTTGAGGCCGGTCATGGAATAAGTATTTTTCCATTTCAGCATTTAGTTTGCGGACTTCCCTGAGAATTTGGGAGTACATGATTAAAGTAGCCAGCACAGGTGTGAAGTAAAACAGCACCACGTTCACGTAGAACAACAACACAAACCGCTCTGTGTCATATGGGTTGGTGTGATCTAAAATGAGCTCTGAATAGTTTTTTTTATGATCGAGTTTGTAGCTTTTTTCGCGTCTAATGTTTTTAAATGAAACAGAATAATTGTGATTGGAATAAAATTGACAACAAAATGTTTCGTTCTGAGATATTTCTAGTTGTTTTTTTTTCTAATTAGGATTTAAAAAAAAACTTGAACTTCAAAACGTAGTATTTTCAAAGTTGGGTAGACAAAACACAAAAAACGACGCAAAATTTTTCCTTAAGATTTAAGCAAAATTATTATGATAAAATAAATTTCTCAAGTGAAACTTTGCAATAAAGTTTTGGGCCCAAAATTCGACCGCAAAAAGGCAAAAATACCGCTTAATTTGCTTCTAAAATATATCAAAGTAAGCCTTTATTGTAGTTCTACGAAATTTAAGTGTACAGCCTCCACAAAATTGAGCAAAAATGCATACTTTTTATATAGTAGTTTTAAATGTGTATGGCTTCCAAAAAATGAGCAAAATAATTTTTAAAATAAAAAATTGACAATGAGAGGCTTATTTTGATTTAGTTTTGTCAGCAACTGAAGCTGTATTTTTGGAAACTTTTTTATTGAATTTTTTGTTGAAAATTTGAGCAATTCTTCTTCCTAATTTTTTGTCGAAATCAAGCCAATTTGAAACGCGGTGAGCCTTCACTATTTTTCTATACCAAAAACATTCATGGAGAATTTGTTGGTTTTCTCAAAACAAGGAACATCAAGTTTTGCCATTAGAAAACCGAAGTCTTCGAGTTCAAGCTGACCCAACAAGTTTTTGTACATTGAAGGTTTCTGTTAATGTTTGATGAGGTCTACGTTCAATGTTGTCAATGTTGAATAAATAAAAAATAGTTGATCCGCGTCCAGACAAGTCGGACAAAGACAATTCAGGGGATGTGAAGTTCAGAGAGCTCAGCCGATTGGAAGTTTAGACAATTCAGCCAAAAGTATGCAAAAAATTCATCCAGAGACAATTCAGCCAATAATAGTGACCGCCGCAGTCGCGCCAACGTGTTGCGAGCTTGCCAACAGAGGGTAGGACTCTATACGAAGTTTAGAACCATTTATCACCGCAAAGGCGACCTTAAACCGAAGAAAAACTCCAATTCCGACTTTTTCTTTTGAATCTAGCGTTTTGTTAAACTAGCTGAATTGTCTCAGGCTGAATCGTCTGTATACTTTTGGCTGAATTGTATGAACTTCAAATTGGCTGAATTGTCTTTGGTCGAACTGTTTGTAAGCCGTTTTTGATGTTTAGACGGAAGTTATTGTCTTTAAAAACTATAAGTGTGGCAAAAAAAACTTCAAGGGCTGCAGGAGGCACCATTTGCCACTATTTCAAGGGATTCATCTTGTCTCTGTAAGCATAAAATTAGTTTTGGAGGCCTTTCTCTCCATAATGGATTTTTAGGAAATCAAAGAAATCAACTTTGAGGAATAGTTGTCAAGTGACATTTGTTTTAACTTTAAAATCTCACAGGAGAGTGCAGAAGGTGACTAATCTTTAACATTCACACTCTGCACTCTCCTGCGCGATATCAAAAAATAAAAATCTTTTTGTATTTTAAAAAAAATCTTTTTTGCTGTAGAAAAAAGTAATTGAATGCTTAACTTTCAGCAAAATTATGGAAATGTTCAACTGATTTAGAAAAAACCAAAATAGTTATTTTGTTGAATGGAGCTTCTTTCATTCTAAGCAAACATCAAAATGCAAGTATTTAATCATAATTCTAACAAGAATCATTGCATTTATGCATATTAGAGTTTTTGCTATTTAAGCGTGGTCACTTTTTTACTCGGAAAAGCATAGGTTTCTACATGTCGCGCAAAGTTTTAACCTGACTTTAATTTAGTTTCGTTGTTCATTTACATTTTGTACCCTGATGTCAAAATTTCAATATGAAGTCATCTAGAAACGATTTTGACAAACAAAAAAAATTGTTTGCTTCTCTGTTTATGAAGTTTAATACACCCAGGTTCAAATTGCTTTAAAGTAGCGGCTCTTTTCCAGTTCTCCGCCTCCCCGTAAAATTGAAAAATAAAGCTGTTCAAAAATTATTCAAACGGCATTTTGCATATAAGAAATTTTGCGAAAGATTGTTCACCTGTTCACGCTGACAAGCTTTAACGCTCCCGGACTGACCGAAACTTCTTATCATACAGTTTCATACATTCCATACGTACAAAAAATTGCATGACATCTTTATGATAAGCAAAAATAAGAAAATTGTATGATAGGTGTTTTACCGTAATCCAAAAATTTTGGGTTTTTTTTCTAAATTTAATTTCTAAAAAGTTTTGGGTTGTGTTCGTAACCGAACGCAAGTGACAAAGACCTTTGCTTACTCAAAGCTTGAGTAACCAAAGATTGGGTGGTCCTGCATTTGCAATGCATAGAAAGCGACCTGAATTGTCTTAGAGCTGCCTTTTACAATTGATATAACGAAAGTAGGAAACTTTAAATTTTTGGCAAACATTTTTAACAATGGTTATTTTTAAAGTTTGAAATTTTAATTTACCAGAAACTGATCAAGGCATATACAAACACGCTATACAAAAGAAATAGGAGTTTTCAGCGTTTTTGAAAAATTTTATTAAGCGAAAAGGAAAAAATCCAACATTAGTCTACCAGGACTACGTTATGCACACAAGAATATAAATTTTGCATGCAAAATTTTTTTTCGAAAAAATTTGTTCGCCTTGGTTGTTTTCGAAATTGCATGAAAATTGTATGACAAGCACTTTTCCACACACTTATTGCGTGGAATTCTATGATAAGCATTTTCGTTTGATAGAGGTCAACCCGGGCAGTATATAAAATTAAGTTCATTTTATACACTATCAAATTTTTAGTTTCAAAATTGTATGTTGAAGTGTGCGCGCGGGTAAAAAGAAACTCAATATTTTGATGACAAATTTTCAAAAACTGCCTGCGAACGGCATTTTATGGCTTCTTTTTCTCTCAATTTTTTTCCATCTTTTTGAACAAATGCCCCTTTTTTGCGTTCTGCTCCTGAATTTCAACCACAAAAGTTTAGCTAAAAAAAGGTCTCACTGAAAACCGGAAAGATCAGAATCCTGAACATTTTGAGGAATTCACGAACAAATATCAATTTATTACATTATAGGTTGAAATTATCCGGAATTGGTTTCAATTCGCAAAATCTGAAATTTTTGCAAAATCCGGGAAAACAAACATTCGCTTGTTATGAAATCTGAAACAAAATTAATGTGCCGATAAAAATTACCTTGGAGTTTTTGTGCGCGGAATCTGCTAAACTGTTGTAACCGGAATCTACTTATTACTTAGAACATGATTAAAGACTTGTCGTTGGATTCCAGTGACCTACCGACACCAATTTGTGAGCCTATCCATTGCACAGTTTGACCTCGTAATGGAAAATGTCGTTAGTTTTACTGAAAAATTCATCAAAAACTGATCAAATAGCGGTAACATAACACCTTTGATCTTAAACTGCAGTTTTATTTTACTGATACTTTCAAAAAAAATTCTTATAGTTTTTTTTCTAAATCTCAATAAAAACAAAACTGCAAGCATCAGAGATAAATCAGGACTTTAACTCTTGTTATTCGTATAGGAAAAAACTTCAGAGTTTCATGAAAAGAAATGTCAACCTCCTAACAAACGTTTTATTTGGAGAAGCTTATTCTAAACATGAAGTGTTACCATTTTAGTACAAGTTTTAGCTTCTTTTACGTTTTATTATAGAGACCAGTGGCAGATCTAGGATTCTCTTGAGGGGGATTTTCCAAAAAAAAGTTGGTCGACCACTGAATTACCCCCAAATCACAATAAAAACCTTAAAAGACCTTTTTAGCGGCGCAGGAGAAAACAAGTCGAAAAACGATGTTTTGGGCATTTTTGGAGGGCGCTTCTCTTTCAAAATTGGTATATATTGAGGTCAAAGGCGCCTTTGGAAAAGTTTCTGGGTCTGTCATCCAAAAATTGATATTTTTGAAATAGTACGGAAAGGGAGACCCTTTGGGTGGCCAGGGGGTCGAATCCTTTAGTAGAAGGAGGCTTCCGCCACCCATCCCCTGCCTCACCCCTAGTCAATCAAAGGAGGTTATCTTGCCAGATTTTGCAATATAGAGCTTATCTCGCAGAAATCTTGGAAGAGGGAGGCTATCTTACCAAATAAGTATCCCAAAAGTTCTGCCTTTCAACAAAAAATTAGTAGACATTAGGAGCATGGTCAACAAAAATTGATTGTAGAACGAGAACGCGGAACTTTTTCGGGTTGACCCGAAAAAAAAGATAATTGTTTTTAGTTTTTTTAAATCGCCATTATTTTCGTAGAGCGGGTTTTTGATAAAACTGTGTGTTCTATTTTGCTGTGACTCAAACTGGCCTAAACTCAGAAACAAAAGCTCTAAATAATTTCGACATTTTCGATCAAAAAAACTGGTTGATTTCTTTTCAATTCCTACTAAAAAGTTACAACCTCTCGCTACTCCTCTGCCTTAATCCGATTTTGATAGAAATATTTATAAACACGGAGTTCAAGGCACTCACCATTCAGAAAAGGGATTCAGTTTTTTTCATTATACAACCTTAATTGAAAAAATTTATATAGAAAATCATGTCTGAGTGATTTATTGGATAAGGGCAAAAAGTTGTGCCCGATAAGAGCCTTCTTGTTCCACTTAGACACTGTTAAAGTCGTAACTGTATAAGATCAAAAAGGTTGTTGATAAGTTGTATTGTAGACAAACTGTTAGGCATCAAATCGAAATCTTACTGCATTCTTTTATTTCAGATCCCATCGGACATTAGAGATCGCAAGGTCACGACAGCAGGTTCCCAGACAAAACCTCACTTGTGCTCTATTCGGTGAATCATAAT